CATACTCTCTCTCTCTCTTGTCTCTCTCTCTCTCTCTCTCTCTCTCTCTCTCTCTCGCATCCTTTTTTACATTATATGGCACAATATCGAATTACCACTTCCGTCAGTCCGTTAACCATTCAATAATAATTGTATCGGTTCGTATTGTGCGCATCTGTGTATTATGACATTTTCAATTATCCTATTATATCACGAGAAATGTGCGGAGAAAACGTAGCGTGCAACGCGCTCGCGCAATTATGTGGGTGAGCGAGTACTTAAGTACCTGGGAAAGGGAGGGTTGACGGTGCAAAAGTCGAGCCTGGAACGAGCTCGGTGTGTCGATGGTATGCTGCCTGGAGAGGGCTGCGTGTGGCGGAGTTACAGAACTCTGACGGAACCAAGGTAACGAGATCTTCCTGCGTGCTTTCTTCACGATTGTTGCAGGTTTTCCTGCTGGTGACGTCATGACAGTTTTGCCTCGTGTTCAATTCACGTGCACGAACGCAATAATCATGTATAATATAAGAAACGGGATCGAAGATGTTGTTAAACGTGCGAGCGGCATGCTTTCTTTTTTTTTTTCTTTTTTTCCTTTTTTGGTTAATCGTTCCGTTTCCCGGGTCTCTCAACAGGTCAGAAAGTCTTGTCCACCGATTCGTCACACTCACCATCGAGCGGATCCATTCGACCCAAGTGTCGCGCCCGTACTGATCCCGTTACCTATCGTTCCTCCTATCCTCGCCCTCCTCCCTTCCTCACCCTCGCATACCTTACTACGTATTTCTCACCCTATCGCACAACCACCCTACCCTCTCACTTTTCTTCCATCATACCCTCTCGTGTATGTACGCGGCGCGATCGCGCTTGCTCGCTTTTCGATTATTCTCGAACCCCACCCAACGATATTCTCACGATATTCTCTCGTTTCTCGCCGCTGTCGTTATACCGGCCGACCAACAATCAAACATCGAACAAATCAAGGAAAGAATCGTTATTGCTAATTTCTATCTATCGATAATATTAATTCCCTGTTTTAGCGTTTTTCTATCTTTGACACCTATTCGCACATTTTTCTGTTTACGTCCATCTATGATTTATATACACCTGGTTCCAACAAGTGAGAAAAATCTAGATGTAATGACGATAACATGCTCAGAAACATGCCCATGTCCTTTTTTCGTATTTCGTATTTCGAGATCGGAGTCAGATCGATTCGTTTCTCTCTCTCTTCTTTTTTTTTTTTTTTATTATTTTTTAAGTTAATTTTATCGTGTTACATCGATCGAATATTCTCGTTTCTTTTCAAATTATTTAGACTTAATTGAACGATTATGAAATATTTTAATGATGTATTGCCATTTCTTATTAATAAATAACTATTTTTCTAATTTTACTTTAGAAAAGTATGTTATAAATTGAAATATGATCGAGTATTAGATGTATGTCACGAATGATCTAAATTAATTCAAAATTTCAACAATCTTTTTTTTATAAATTACATGAATTCCTCTGTGTTCATAAATGCTCATAACATCTTTTTGTTTTTTTTAAACAAATAATGTATTATCAAAAACTATATCTAGATAAGTTCCAAAATAATCATTAAATAAATCTTTGCAAAGAGGTGGCAACAAAAAAGAAAATAGAACAATGAATAAGCGAAAATCAAATTAAAATATTTAATTACTTACCTTATCTGAGTCTGTAGTATTGGTAGAACCAAATGATGCCAAAGAATTTCTATCCAAATTCTCAACACTATCATCCAAAGAAGTACACTCTTCAAGATCTCTACTAGATCGTTGACTTGAACTCTTTTTCGCAGGACTCTTGGGCATACTTAAACTGAAATATGTTTCCTGAATAACTTCGCGTAATCTTTTCACCCATAATTGCTTAGCATCCATTGAATTGGCTCGAAGAACAACGCGTGTATCGCTAGTCGGTGCACGACCTGTCCATACTGCAAATTTGCATTCGTCACCCTCAATATGTTCAGTTACACCCAACTCAGAGGTCATTAAACGACTTTTGTAAATGTATTTCACCTGTATCATAATGAATAAGATAAATTTTATATATTCTAAATGAACGCATCTCTATATCAAATTTGCTTTTACCTTTCCAGCCGAATCTTTCACTTCTTTGCTAAAGAGCAGATACAATTCAAATAGAAATATGTGCCGATCCCTGCCTTTTCTAATCAATTGTTTAGGATCCCATACCGTAAAAGAATCCTGTAATACTACATCACCTAATGTATCTATTCTTACATCGCAACCTTCCAGCATACTTAAATGTAAGGCATCATTTGCTTTTTTAGGCACATTTAACATTACTTCAAGGCCGTCCTTTATTTCGCCCTGTCCTTCTTGGCAACAAGCCTAAATAATTTGTATAGTGTATAGTGAAGATAAAATTAAACATAATAAAAAAAAAAAAAATAAAAACAGAGAGAAATAAAAAGGAAGAAAAATTTAATCTAGATAAAACAATATTAAATATTTGTGCTGTAAATTATTTAATTATATATGAATATAAATTTATAGATTCAATCAAGGCATAGTATTGATCAAATCTATAAAGGGAAAAGAGTAACCAGTTCGTTATACCTGAAGATCTTTTAATAATAATTGATATTTTGTTATTCTTTGTACGGGTTTAATTAAATATGCAGCAATCGGATGTTCAACTCGATGTTTTCTTTGTAATTCTTCAAACCATGTCCCACCATGAGTAACTAACAATTGATTACTTTCTGGTTTATTCTTGCAATATGTCACATACATATCAAACTTAGGTGCCTAATTAATAAAAAAAAAAATTAAATAGTACGGTTGCCACAAATATAAAGTTGTAGTATATACAGTTAATCATCTTCTAATACGGTTAATTCATTCAGTATTACATATATTATACATTCATTTTACAGTATTCTATCAAAACTGTGAAATGTAAAATGTAATATAATTAGAGGAATGCATCAGAAAATGTCAACAAAAACATAATGAAAACATTTTAAATGGAGCGTTGTCCAAGCTTATGAAATCGTGATATAGAAACCATTATAAAAATATTATATTATAGAAAAATTGTTGCAATTTTTGCACAATATTTTTAAAATACCATATTATAAAAGGATTAAATATATTTTATTGTTAAATCAACAAAATGAACTAAGAAAATTAAAAAAATAAAAAATATAAAGTTTACCCATGTCACAAAACAATGTCCAACATCTTCGGGCATGGTCTCGTATTTTTCAAGTTCACGAAGAAATATGTTACTATGAAATTGATGAATCTCTTCCATATTACTAAAAATTATAGATTCTCGTCCTTGTAATCCAGATGGAACATTTCCTTTTCCACAACGTGTTTCTTCCAAGAAACATCGAATACAAGTTTCTAAATCTTTCACATAAGTTCGTTCTGTTTGTAGCAATTCAGCCATTATAAATCTGTGAATGCATAAGAATCGGAAATAATAATAAACATACGTAACTGATCATTTAAATAAATAAAAACTTAATAAAAAAAGCAAACATACTCTTTTCGTCGTGCTGATCTTCTTTTTTCTTCGTTTAATTCTTTTAAATCTTTTCCTTTGATCTTTTCTTCAAGTAAAGGATCGGAATTGCGATCAATAGAAAGATCCTTTTGACCATCGTCGGATTGAATTCCAAGATCTTCTTCAATTTGTGTTTTATAACAATCCATACGCGTACTAAAATCCTTATATCGTTGATCCACTTCAGCAACAGATTGCTTAATTGCGACTGCATGAGCATGTCCTTTCTCGACTAAATTATCAGCAAGTTGAATCAACAGTTTTACTCTTTCTCGTGTTTCCTATTACATAAACGAACCGAAAGATAAATAAAAAAAAATTAAAAGAAAAAAAAATTATAAAAAAGAAAAAGAATTGAAAAAATGAAAAAAAAATCTTGGTCTCTTAAATAGTAATTTCTAGATTTGAAAAATAAAATGAAAAAAAGAAAACAAAAACAAAATAAAACGTACCTTTGCAGCACCTTTAAATTCATTGTGCTCGCGTAATAATTGTTCGTTTTCGATACGATTTTTACCAACATTGGTATGTGTTGCTAGATACAATTCACCCGTTTCTCTAATCCATTCTAAAGCCTGTTTAGCACTACGCTCAAACAGAACATACTGATGACAGTGATCCAATCGTTTCTTACGTTGCGTCCAGTATTCGAGTACGCGATTCTCTTTACTAAGTAACTCCTCCAAAATATCTAAAATATTAGGTATTAAAACGTATAAAACTAATTATTCTTGAAAATTTCTTATATCCATATTTGAAATATATATCATATCATATCATAAAGAAAATTAAAAAAAAAAAAAAAAAAAAAAATGAAAAAAATGAAAAAATAAAACTAACTTTTAACTTTATTCTCAGAGCCAGCACTATTTGCCTGATAACTATAAAATTGAAGACTACGGTTCGTATATTTAAGAAATGTTTCCGCAGTTCGCCGTACTAATGTGCATGCTTTTAAAAATGCTTCTTTTTGTTCTTGATGTTTGCCAACAAGTGTTGGAACTTGTGTTGCTTTTTCACCAGAAGCACACCAATCTTCGTCTCTTTTATATTCACGTTCAAGACTATCTAATACAGAACGAACTTGTTCTGCCGTCTTGTAAAAATTAATACTAGCTGTTACTAATTTATGTCTTTCCTCTGCACATGTCACAAGTTGTTGCCATCTCTTAGTTACATCCTCAGCTACTTCTCTTATACTCTTTGGATCATAATGATTAGCGCTCACTAACGCATCTGCTCTATGTTTTACCTAAAATGATCAATTTATATTTCTTTTTTTTCAAAGAATTTTCATTTTCATTAATAAAAAAATTATAATTCGAAATTATTTATTGGAAATTGAAGAAAAGAATATAATTATGTACCTGAACAGCTGAAGTATGCGTTTTTTCTATAGCGACTTGAAATTGTTCGTGTTCTAAACGAAGCTGTTCTGCATCCTGAAGATTTTCAGGAACTCTTAAAGAAGCTAATAACATAGCTTCTCCATTACGAATCCAATTGGCAACATGTGTAGCGTCGGTTTGTAATTGAACCAATTGAGAAGCTTGTTCTAAACGAACTCTTCTCATTTCTGCTAAATCTTCCGCATCCATTTCTCTTTCATTTAAAAATTCAAGAAGCACTTGTACTCTAGTTGCAGCACTATGTTGTCCATCTGCCATTATACAAACTCCTGCTTGTTCCAACACCTACATTTCAAGATTTGATTTCAATTTTGTCATAATTTTTAAATATCAGAGATTTAAATATATATATTTCGTATATTTAAAAATATATTCGCAATTTTTACCTGAGCAAGTTCTTGACCTTGTTGTAGAACTTGAAATGCAGTATTCTGCATATGAGCAACACCATCATTATGTGCACGCAATAATTGTTCAGGAGAACCTTCTCGAGATGGGCCTTGCAATTCTTGTGCCCACATCTCTAATTGACCACTCGCTTCTAAAGCATCTCTTTCAAATACACGTAATCGTAAACATAATTCTAGCCTCAATTTTCTAGTAGCCCATAAATCTTCTAATTCCTGTCTTAAGTTCGCTAATCTATCTAATGCAGCTTCTACCGCAGATATCTGAAATATTTATTCCAATAATATTCTCTGCTTTCTACTAGATTTTATACTCTCCATACATTCAAATAAATATTCGAATGATAAGAATTACAATAAAAAAAAAAAAAAAAATAAATAAAAGATAAAACTTACAGAGCCAGTAGTATCAGGAGCATCAGTAGATTCTCGCAATTCTCGAAGTAATGCTTCTCCCTGAACAATAGTCGATGCACATGCTTCCATGCAAGAAGCTCGATGTTGTGCACATTGTTCCAACAATCTTTCTGCTGTTTCTAAATTCTCCGCCACTTCGTCTTGTTGTAATTCTTGTCGTAATTCATCAACCCAACCACTTAACTATTAAAAATATGCATTTTTTTTATATTTTCGACATTATCAATTCAGCACTATCAGCACTAAATCGTATTGTTTATTACCTCTTTTTCATGTGTATAAAATACAACTGCTAAATCTAATCTTCGACGACGTTGTTCGACTCTTGCCGCAAAGCTACTGACGTGAGCCTCTAATTCTTGCGCTACAGCATATATTTCATCAGCAGCACATTCACCAGTGTGAGCCAATTCTTGTGCAGCAGTAAGTAGTTTGGTAGCATTCGTATATGTATTCTAAACAAATATAAAATTATTTATTCAATATTTCTATTATACACATTCATTTATAAATAATATTATGATGATAAATATTATATATATTGAGTTATTACCTGTGCGACATTTTCAAAATGTTCGTGACTTTTCTGATATACTCTTGCTTTTTGAAGATTACGACCAACGCCTGTATTCTTTCTAATAAAAACTTCACCGTGATTAGTTAACCAATCTAAAACTTGTTTCACATCTTCTTGAAACAATCTGTAAACGATTAATACTATTATTAATTATAAAAAAAAAACAATAGAGAACAATTAATGTATAATAATGGAATTAATATTATCTTCATAAACAATCGAGATTGAAGAAGAAATAGCGGGCAACAAATATAAATACCTTAACGCGAGTCGCTGATGCAGTTTGACTTTTCGAGCATGCCAACGAGCTTCCAACGCCCTATGATGACCCAAAATTTGATGGATCACTGCCAATACATGAGACGCACCTTCGCTATAATCCGCAGCAGGATTCCCACTCATACCAGAATGCCCATCAATGCCATGTCCATCTTGACTCTGAATAAATCAATCATTTTATTTATTCAATCATTAAAATTTATATCTCAAAATAATTTAAAAATTTACTTGTTACTTCACATGCACGTGCATTACTTGAATCAATGTACTCGTTTCCATAAGTATAACCTACAGTATATTACTCCAGTCTGTACAATAAAGATTGCATATGACTTTTTATAAATATAGAAAGAAGAAAGAAAGCAAGAAGAGGGGGGGAGAGAGAGAGATATTAAAATCCACTAGCCAAGAAGATGCCTATCATACTAAAGATGTGTACGCGACGAAACATTATTTGAACGCTTCTATGCAATGGATAATCTAAAGCAATGAGCATTTGTATAATGAAAAGTCATGAAAAGTCTTTGGCATTTCATAATTCATTTTATAGTTTATAGCGCGAATATTATGAATAAAAGCAAACATATCCCATACGTTTTTTCCATCAAAATAATCTATAGGTGATTGATACAACATATAATTTAAAACGATAAAGCAAAATAGAAATTAGTTTGTGCATAAACATTCGTGCACACCAATAGACGTACATGTTTTCTGGCTGTATGGTCTATCCCTTGCGGCTGATTACAGACTTGCACGAGATGATCCAGTTGATAAAGAAGCTTCTTACTGGTACTATGCACCTAAACAATAGGATTACCCAAAACCATATTTAAAGTTCTGCCATTCAATTCTGTTAAATATTAAAACCATGTTTCAGCTCCATAATTTATGATATTTATGAATCTACATAACGAAAAATTACGAATTTAATTCGTTTTCGTAATTGTCACATGATGCACTTTCTTTACTCATTGGGTTAACTTTTACCATCTAATCCCTTATCTTTTTGAATTTTTTTTTTTCTTTTCATCAGACCCGCATACCAAGCAAATGACCACCGGTTAAAAGCTATTAAAAAAAAAAAAAATGACTAATCGTTTCATACATAATCGATGCAAAATGTATCCGAGCTCGAACTGTGCGTCGAAACGAAGCCGTGACAAACTTGCAGCATTGAGCCTAGTCCACTCAAAAGTGCCTGATACGCGTCATATACCTGCCAAACATTATCGTCCTTTACTAAATATCATCCTGTAAACGATATTGCAAATTACGATGCCACATTTCAAAGTTACGTGGAAAAAATTTATATTTTCTTTGTTTCTTCGAGATTGAATTCCTTCTTGCCACGAACAGAACTAAAGATGAATTATATGCATGTTTGTTTCAACGAATGTAAAAAAAAAAAAAAAATTAAAACAAAACAATATAACATTATACAATATATTATATATAAAATATACAACAAAAATCACCTCTGTGTAAGCTTGACACATTGCTTCGTAAAGAGTTTGATGTTGCCGTATGTGAGATTCCAAAATCGGTATTTCGTTAGGTAAATTGCCAGCATCACAAGCTTGACTCCATCCTGCAACGCTATCAACATATTGCTCTGCCTTATGATGAAATACAACGCTTAAACTAAGAACCGCAGTACGCTCATCAAGCCCTGCTGCGAATTCTTTCCAAGCTCGATCTAATCGGCCAGCTACTGCTCTTACGTGTCCGGCAGCATAATGTTGAGTTTCAAGCAAACGACTGGCCATCGTTAAAATTTTATTTATATTCACATAAACGTTCATAGAACTTATAGTGAAATGTTTGTGCTCTTCCTGCAAATTTTTAGCGAGTTGATAAGAACGTCCAATTTCAACGTAATTCGCTAAAAATCCTTCTCTATTGTGACAAATCCAATCGAACATTTTTTCACAATCTTGTTCGAAAAGTCTTAGTTGAAAGCACTGATCTAATTTCATCTTCTTAATATGCCACAATTGTAGAAGATGCTGTTGTGCAGCATGTACAGAATCTAAGTGTTGAATCACTAACGCGGCTAATGCTCGTCCATCAGGATCGGTGCCACCGGTTGCTCCACTTTCTATACTACCGCCTTCGCCACTACTCGCTGCTATACCTGTAACAATATTTCTTATCATCATCAAATAATTTTTAATCAATTTATCAACAAATAGTTATTTTATATTTGATGACTAATTTATCATTATAATATTAAAATTAAAATTATAATTCGATACTTACTATTATCGAAGCGTTGTAACAATCGCTGACCGATAACTTCAATTTCTTCTACCGGAACTTTCATAATTTTTTTCTTCATTTCATTATGCAAATCAATTCCGTGTTTTGCTCCAGCTACATCGTCCGCAAAATCATTTCGACTTAAATCCTCTTGTAAATCGTCTAATCTATCGAGAAGATCACTTGCTTGCCATGTAAAGTCTTCTACAGCTAATCTTGTATCAATCCATTGAGCATGATCATATTGTAATGACCCATCTAAATCTGCTGTCAATTGTGATGGATCAATTACTTTTGTCAAAGCTTCTAAACTTATAGTATTTATCTAGGAGGGAAAGAGCATCATCAAATAATTTTTTGCTTTACAAACAGATTTTTTATACTATTTCATTTTTATTTTGCTTACTTCAAAATTATATTTCTTTTGCTTGGCTAATGATGTCCGTTGTTTTTGCCAGAAATTTTCAGGTTTGATAATAAAAGCAACATGTATTGATCGATGAAAGTGTTCATGTAATACCTAATAAAAATTTAAAAATTATTTATAATGATAATATATTGAACTAAAATATGGTACAAAGTTAAAAAAAAAATGCAAGCTAAGTTGTCAAATGTAAATCATATTTTTGTTAAAGCAAGAAATGAATATATTTGACAAAGATTATGATTAATATAACCTTTAGAATTGGTTTGACAGAATCCCAAGTAGCACCACGCATATCCACAATCACAGTGAAGCGTAAACCTCTAGCTTCATCACTGGGTACAGTCAATAAATATTGTAAAAGACGACGATAATCTTCAGGTTTGGCTCTTTCACGTCTTGGTGTAGTAGGAAATAAAAGTACTGGTCCACCTCTGCGATCTCTGCTACCTGGCAGAATGGCCAAACGTTCTTGAAGCAAAGGTAAAACCTCTGCAGCTCTTGTTCCATCCATCTTGTTTATTTTTATTTGCTCAAATTAAATCTACCAATAATATTTGTTAATTTTGTATATTACTTTCGATGTTAAAAAAATATATAATTAAAACATATAATTATATATAATATTTCTTCAAGAAAAAGCAAATTATTTCTATATATATATATATATATATATATATATATATAATATAT